CTAGGCTGACGCCACGGCAATCTAGCCCAGGCAACAGAGTAAGACTCTGTCTCCAAAAAACAAAAATAAAAAAACCCCTATTAGGAGGTATCGTTGGAGCCTGTGAACTGCTTCAGCCTCAGCCAGGTCCCCAAGCCACCTCAAAGTCTCAAGAAATCCATCGCACCATCTTCTAACATGGGTTCACTCCATAACTGACTTGGAGACGCATGGCCAGATAAAAGACGGGAGGCCCATTTAAATTTGAATTTCAGAGAAGACAGGCAATGAATAACTTTTTAGCATAAATGCGTTCCAAGTACCGCATGGGAGCCACTTATCCTAAAAATGATTCCTCGTGTATCTGAAATTCAAATTTAAATGGGCCTCTCGTATTTTTATTTGCTAAATCTAGAAACCCTAATTTGGAAGTTTCTCTTGAATTGAGCCTCTGCCTTATTCCTCCCTCCAAAAGAGAGTTTCAAAAACGTTGCCACAAAATGACATTATGTCATTCCTCATTGCCTCGTCTTCCAAAATCCAACAACCCCAAATGGGTATTCTGAGGTTAACCTTCTTCTTCTTCTTCTTTTTTTTTTTTTTAAGACACAGGGTCTCGCTCTGTCACCCAGAATGGAGTGAGTGCAGTGGTGTGATCATAGCTCACTGCAGCCTCGAACCCATGGGCTCAAGCCATCCTCTTGCCTCAGCTTCCTGAGTAGCTGGGACTACAAGCACCCACCACCACGCCCAGCTAATTTTTCTATTTTTTGGAGAGATGGGATCTTGCTAAATTGCCCAGGCTAGTCTCAAACTCCTGGTCTCAAGCGATCCTCGTACTTCGGCTTCCCAAAGTGCTGAGATTACAGGTGTGAGCCACTGCACCCAGCCAAGGAAGACTTTTTAGCATGAGCAAGTGGACGGATGACGGAGCGACACGGTGGGAACGAAACCGGGCTCAGACATGCTAATTTTGAGGTGCTTAATTAGACATCTGACAGAGGACAGGAAGGAGGCGGGTCTGGAGCTCAGGAGAGACATCTGGGTGAGGAAGACACCTGGGAGACATGCAGGCCCAACACACGTACTTAAAGCCATGAGGCCGGATGAGATTCCCCAGGGGCGTGTGGACAAAGAAAAGATCAGAGACTGAGCCCTGGGGTTCTCCAAGAGGGAGGGGTCCTTCAAAGACAAATCTGACAAGAGGAAAACAAAATTCCCCATCACGACGAAAACATTCCTCCGCAAGGGACTGGTTAAATAAATGATGGGTCTTTTATATCAGGGAATGCACCACAGCCACATAAAAGGATGATGAAGTTCTCGGTCACCGTTTGGGTTCTTAGGAAGAGGAGAGTGAGGTGGAATTTGGGGTATGAGATCTTTATTAGGACTTAACAGCTGCCAAAGAAGGAAGCAACCAAGATGGGGAAAAGGGAGAAGGGACCTGGGTTTGAGGCTGGAAAAACCCTTCGCCAACCAACAGGGAGCTCAGGGTGTCCCACATTAAGTCATAATGCCCAGACCTTTCCTCCTCTTCCTCGCCCAGGCAGTGGGTGTGGGCTGCCTCGGGATGGATGGGACTTACAGAGAGGTGGTTCTTTGCAGAGGAGACTGAACGTAACAGTGGCAGCCGGAGGCTTATGCTGACTCTATGTCACTCAACCGCGCAGCGAGTCCCTCCTCGAAGGGGGCATCTGGGTGACGCAGAAGGTGAGCTCCACAAAGGCACAAATTTTTGTCTTTCTTTGTACTTGTCTGTTTCGTTTTATTCCTGCCGTATCCCAGTGCTGTGCACATAGTAGTTGCTCAGTAAATGTCAATGGGGTGAATGAACAAATTTCCCAGCATCCTCTGTGGCAAAGTGTGGTCATGTGACTAGGTGCTGGCCAATGGAGACATGTGATAGAGCCACCCTACTGTAGCATCTAGACCGCTGCTGGGAGAGAAAGACACTTCTATCATATCTAAGTCATTGGTACTTCTCTCCCTCACTGTCATACCTAACTAATAAACCTCAACCAGAGTAGGCACTCAATAAATACGAGTCACATTCCACCATACGGATACTTGATAATTTGGTTTAACTTGAAAATTTCAGTCGTTTAACTAGTGTCATCTTACTGGACATTTATTTCCAACTCTCTGCTAGGGCAGCGTCGTGATAGACTGTCCCCAAAGATGGCTGCCATCGATTCCTCCCATCCCGCTATGCCCCTGCCACTCCTCACACCGAGTTTATTTCCCCACCTCCTCCCCTTGGATTTGGGTCTGGCCATGTGATTTGCTCTGACCAATAGAATGTGGCAGAAGGGTAGCCGTGGGACTTCCAAGCCAAGTATTTAAGAAGACAGGTGTCGGCTGGCTGGGCGTGGTGGCTCACGCCCGTAATCCTAGCACTCTGGGAGGCCGAGGCGGGCAGATCATTTGAGCTCAGGAGTTCGAAACCAGCCTGAGCAAGAGCGAGACCCCGTCTCTACCAAAAATAGAAAGAAATTAATCAGACAGCTAAAAATATATAGAAAAAAATTAGCCAGGCATGGTGGCGCGTGCCTGTAGTCCCAGCTACTCGGGAGGCTGAGGCAGGAGGATCGCTTGAGCCCAGGAGTTTGAGGTTGCTGTGAGCTATGATGATGCCTTGGCACTCTAGCCCGGGCAACAGAGTGATGCTGTCTCAAAAAAAAAAAAAGAAAGAATGAATGAATGAATCAGCCAGGCGTGGTGGTGTGTACCTGTAGTCCCAGCTATTCAGGAGGCTGAGGCAGGAGGATCACTCGAACCCAAGAGTTCAAGGTTGCAGTGAGCTATGATCACACCACTGCACTTCAGCCTGGGCAACAGAGTAAGCCTTGCCTTTAAAAAAAAAAAAGAATTAAAAAAAAAGGATAAGTATTATTTCATAAAACTCTTGTACTTTCATGTACTCAGACACTACACAAGACATATTTCTCCTTGTAAGTCCTAATCAGAAAGGTTTGATGAACACTATCGCAAGGACCACAGAGCTGAATAAGACGGCAGAACATTCTACAGACAATAAAGAAACAAATGAATTAATGGAATGTGTAGAAGACAGTTAAACAAGGCAAACATTCTAGAGAATGCCTAGGATGTTTGCAAAGGTGGTCAGGGAAGGTATGTCAAGGGATAGCTTGGTTGTGAGCTGAGGCTGGGAAGGAGCCAGACTCCAGGCAAAGGAGTCAAAGCAAAGGTTTTGTGGCTGGACTGAGCTTGGTGTGTTTGAGGAACAGAATGCAGCCCAGCAGGGAAGGGAGGCTGGAAGGTGATGAGGACAGAGGTCGGCAGGGGTGCTGGGGAGCCATGGTTCAGTTTAGCTTTTTGGAGGATCACTCAGGCTGCAGGGCACAGGGACACGAGTAAAGCTGGGACACCCATCAGGGAGCTGTCAGGAGGCCAGGATGGTACCAATGAAGGCGGTGAGAAGTAGTTGAATTGTGCAGAGCTGAAGATGAAACAAAGGGAGTCAGGGAAGGCAGAGAGGAAGAGGCAGCAAAGACGACCCACGTCAGAGGGTGAGAGGACAGAGGGGTGTGGGAAGTGCCCGAGGGAGGAGCTGCGGCAGTGAGGTGGCAGCTGGTGGCCTGGCCCTTCTCCCCAGGGTGGAGCAGGAGCCCCTGGGGGAACCAGCTGGGCAGGGCCACCCACCTGACTCACAGCAGAAACTGGGACAGCCACTGCCCACTCACCTCTTTAGTCCCAGTTGGAGATAAAGGTGACTTTCCAGACTGCTGGGCACCACCCTCTGAGCCCAGATGCCAGCTCCCCACAGGGAGGTCCTGCCTGCCAGCATTTGCCTCTGTCTGGGCCTTCTGCCTCGGGTACCTTCAAGGCCTCCTTCAAACTCTTCCACCTTCATGTCCTTCCCTCTGTCCTGTCCCTGATTCTACAAGGCTGGGGATGTCTGTGTCCCCTTCTATCTCCTCATCAGACTGAAGTCCCCTCGAGGTCACAGAGGGTACAAAACTATCCTAATCTAGAGCACACAGCATCAAGTTGAAGAGTCCAGCACTTATGTATTATTTGCTTGGTGAACTCCTACTTGTATGTCAAAACCCATTTCAAACAGACCCCACCTTGGAGAACTTCTCAGCCCCCAGGGTCCCTGATATAACACATCGATAACTAATTCAGATTCAGCACTTATTATATTCCTGTACCTGTTCTGAAGACATTAGGTAGAACGACTCTAGGAGGTAGGTTATCATTATCATTTTGCAGATGTCTCCAAAGCCCTCTCCTCCTAAACTTCCTCCCTTATCACCTCTTCATCTCTTGGTTCATTGTGTGTGTGATGAGCACCTATTGTGTGCCAGGCACCATTCTAGACTCTGGGGACAAAATAAGGGCCACCTCTCAGAAGGTGACATTTGAACTGAAAAAGAATCCACCTTGAGAATGTCTGGAGGAAGAGAGTTCCCAACGTTACCAGGAATCTTCCTCCTTCCACTTTTTGCCCACTCTCATTCCTCTGCTGGGAATGCCTTTCCCCAGCTAACAAACTCCTACCCATCCTTCAAAGCACAGATCCAAAATGCCTGCTCCTCCTAGGAAGCCTTTTGCAGAGTCCACAACACCAACCTCTGGGCTCCCACTTACAAGATGAGCTGTGGGCACATTGCAGCTGATTTTTTAAATAAGGAATAAAAAAAGTAGAATCTAAGACGAGGCCAGGCTCGGTGGCTCACGCCTGTAACCCCAGCACTTTGGGAGGCCAAGGTGAGGGGATCCCTTGAGCCCAGGAGTTCCAGGCTGCAGTGAACTGTGATAAGGCCACTACACTCCAGCCTGGGTGACAGTGCTAGACCCTGGCTCAAAATATATATTAACGTGTATTGTTTTTAATTAAAAAACAAACAAAAAACAAAACCCAAAACGAAATGGCCGGTAAGGGGACTCAAACCGGCAGATCTGAAAGTTCTCCAGCTCCGCCCAAGCTCCACTTTCTTCTCTGGCCCCGCCTTCTTCAGGCCCCGCCCCATCTATCTTCGCCCCACCCCTAACAGCGCCCGCCCAGCGCCCCGGAAGTAGGCGCCGCCGCGAGCGTGCTTTTCGCGTGCGCAAAGCACGCCGGGAGTTGTAGTTCCGCCATCGGACGGAAGCCGAGACGGACGCGCGGCGGGATGTGGCCCGGAATATTGGCGGAGGGGGCCCGGGTGGCGGCGGGCAGGTGCCCCGCGCTGGGGCCTCGTCTCCCCGCTCTCTTTCCCACGCTGCGGCCGCCGCAGCGGACACCGGAAAGCAGCCTGGCCCTGCCGCGGAGCCTGCACGCGACGGCGGCCCGCGCTCTCCCGCTTATTCCCATCGTGGTGGAGCAGACGGTACAGCGGCCGGGCGGGCGCTCCGGGCTCGGGGCTGCGGGGACGGGCAGCTCTCTGACCCCTCACCTCCATCTTCCCCCCAGGGCCGCGGTGAGCGCGCCTATGACATCTACTCGCGGCTGCTGCGGGAGCGCATCGTGTGCGTCATGGGCCCGGTGAGCGCCTCGCGCCGGGACCCTCCTCTGCGCCTGCCCCGATCCCACGCGCCTCCTTCCCGGACGCCCCGACCTCTCCCCCTTGGCTTTTCCCCAGGCTCCGCTCTGGTCTCAAACCCTCCCCTCCCCCTCTAACTCCTCTCCTAGCCCTGAGTCCCCTGCCCCCTTCTTCAAATCCTCTGCTCCTCCCCTCCGGATATCTGACTGTCTCTCCCTGAACGCCTAGCATCCCCTGACCATTCTGATCTTTTCCCTTCCGGTGTCCGGATTCCCCTCTTCCTGTGCTCCAACCCCCCTGAGTCCCAGCCATACCCCCACCCACCCCCTTCTGGGTCCTGAACCCTTCCCGACCCCTTTTACTTGGGCTCTGAACCCCCTTCCTGGTCCCCCGACCCATCCCCAGCCTCCCCTCCCCAGCCCCCTTCCTTAAAACTCTACCCACCCCCAATCTGGGGACACCGTCCACCCTCCCTACCTGCAGATCGATGACAGCGTCGCCAGCCTTGTTATCGCGCAGCTGCTGTTCCTGCAGTCGGAGAGCAACAAGAAGCCCATCCACATGTACATCAACAGCCCTGGTGAGCAGGGCCTTTCCTGGGTGCCAGGGTCACTCGGGACACACAGGAGACTCGGGACCAAAATCCGTAGTCAGGGATGTTCGCTTTCGGAGGAAGGGGTGCATAGCTTCAGAATCCCAAGTGTCTTGAAACTGCCAAAAGGTGCCTGCTGCTTGCTTTTAAGCTTAAGCGACACTGCTGAGAATGTGACCTCTTTGATCCCACAGGTAGTGTTTTGCCAACTTGACCTGGCTGACCTTTTAAAAAAGAGAATAGGGCCGCGCGGTGGCTCACACCTGTAATCCTAGCTCTCTGGGAGGCCGAGGCGGGCGGATTGTTTGAGCTCAGGAGCTCGAGACCAGCCTGAGCAAGAGCGAGACCCCGTCTCTACTAAAAATAGAAAGAAATTAATCGGACAACTAAAAATATATAGAAAAAATTAGCCGGGCATGGTGGCGCGTGCCTGTAGTCCCAGCTACTCGGGAGGCTGAGGCAGGAGGATCGCTTGAGCCCAGGAGTTTGAGGTTGCTGTGAGCTAGGCTGATGCCACGGCACTCTAGCCAGGGCAACAGAGCCAGACTCTGTCTCAAAAAAAAAAAAAATTAATAACTAGAAGTGGACTGTGCGAATTTGAAATTGGATGTCACCTTAGCTCCCAGAGAAATTGTAGCAATGTCCACGAGCTGCTTATTGGAATATTCATTATCCATGGCCTCTTCAGTTCTGTTCTTTTCTTTTTTTCTTCTATTTTATGCATTATTGGAGTACCCTAAAGATCCTTTTCTTTTTTTTTAATTTTCAATTTCTGTCAATTTGATAGGCCCATCTGCATTCATCCCAGCAATCAGAGCTTTTCTCTGATCATAGAATGATAACCAAAAACCAGTAGGACAGGCTGATTTGCAGCTGAGAACCAAAATATTCATTAATTCAGAACTTACTGGGCAAAGTTTGGAGGAATAAACACTCATTATACTTATTAGAGGGTGGTGGCTGACCCTGTTATCCTACTGCTTGAGGCCAGGAATTCAAGATCAGTGAGGGCAACATATCAAGGACTCATCACTATAAAAAAAAAAAGACTAAGACACATTAAAAATATATATCTTCTTTAAAAAATATATTTATGAAGTCTCTACAATGTATCAGGCCCTGTTAAAAGTTCCTTTTTGTTGTTGTTGTTAATTTCAGGTCACTACCCACTTTGATTTAAATTAATGTTTCAACTGGAAGCAACTCTCCCCCTGTGGGACATGTAGCAATGTCTGAGACATTTTTATTGTAATGATGGGGGGAGATGTGTTCTCCTGGCACAAAGCGAGTGGAGCCAGAGATGGTGCTCAACACCTGCAGTGACCAGGACAGCCCGCCTTCCCTCTTCCCAGAGATTTCTCCAACTCGGAATTTCAATAGCTCCAAGGTTGAGAAACACTAATTTAAATGAAATGGAATAGAAAATATCAGAGGACATTGCTCCAGGTAAGGATATGGCCAGGTACAGTGGCTCACACCTGTAATCCCAGAACTTTGGGAGGTTGAGGTGGGAAGATCACGTGAGGCCAGGAGTTTGAGACTAGCCTGGGCAACATAGCAAGACCCCATCACTAAAAAAAGAAAGAAGAAAGGAAAGAAAGAAAGAAAGAATGAATGAGGGCCGGGTGCAGTGGCTCAGGCCTGTAATCCTAGCACTCTGGGAGGCCAAGGCGGACAGATCGTTTGAGCTCAGGAGTTCGAGACCAGCCTGAGCAAGAGCGAGACCTCGTCTCTACCAAAAATAGAAAGAAATTAATTGAACAGCTAAAAATATATAGAAAAAAATTAGCCAGGCATGGTGGCGTGTGCCTGTAGTCCCAGCTACTCGGGAGGCTGAGGCAGGAGGATCGCTTGAGCCCAGGAGTTTGAG